CACGGGGAAACACCCTCCCCTACTTCCTGCAGTTTAGACCCCTTTGCAGAGGTACAAGCGAGGCAGAGTCAATCCCCACACCCAGGGTTCCTCCAGCATGGAGAGCGGGACCCAAGAAGAGCCCCAGTTTGCCTGGAAACACGGGTGGGGCTGGAGCAGAGGTGCCTGAAGCCAACAGCTCTGCAGATGGGTGGAGACCCAGCCCCAGTGCCTCCTCCACGGGGTGTCTGCCGGGTGCTGGACACACCAGGGAGACCAACCTGGCACGTGCTGCCCGCCCTGCTGCTCCCCGGGCAGGGCATCCTCGGGGCACTCCGGGGCCGGGCTGCCCCCTGGCACATCCTGGACGGGGCCGTCCGGCTCTTCCCGACTGTCTGCACGGAGGGAACAGGCAGAGGATTAACGTGCTGTGGTGTCCTGGCAGCACTGGCTCTGGGCTGGGCTCAGCACTGCTGCCCAGGAACCAACATGATCTAAACCAGCCAGCAGGGTCTGGCCCACACAGACCACCCAGGGGTGGCAGGGGTGTCCCTGTCCCTGAGCCCCCCCGAGGCAGCAGGCAGAGGGATCAGTGCTGGGTGACAGCTGGGTAAACACTGCCAGGGCCAACGGCCCATGGCACAACCCACCCCAACAAAGAGCCTCACGTAAGAAGTGCTGGCTGCAAGAGCCTTGTCTGGGCAGCAACACCCCAAGAAGAACTTCCTGATGGGGCCCCAGCCCTTCCCACTGCCCCCTGGGGCCTGTGGGGTTAATCCCAGCCCTGCTTCCAGCAGTTCCCAGGACTCTGATCCCTGCTCCTGGGCAGGCAGGTGTGTGGCAATGTTCCCCTGCTGCTCCTTGCCTGCACTTCTCTGCTGTTCCCAACCTGCCTTTGCCATCACGGCAGAACACAGGACCCCCAGAGCCCACTGAAGGGGCAAGGGCAGTCCCCACCCCACACAGGGGTTAGTGCCAGGGCTGCCCCGTTCCAGGACTGTCACCATTCCCTAATGTCTCCCCAGGGTGGGCTGTGACCTTGCAGGGTAAGGTCAGGCAGGGTCCTGTCACCTCCCACAGCACGGCACCTGGACAGACCCGGCTCCAGCCAGCCACGTTCACAAGACTCTGGTGAAAGCACCACTCACTGGAGATCTGTTGGGACCTGGAGCCACCCAAGATTTGGGGTCCAAGCGCCACTTTACGATGTTTGTAACCAAACAAAACCAAACCTGCCCAGACTCTCACCTCTGTCCCCCAAAAGCACCTGCTGGAGGCACCTGCCACGCTCTGCTCTCTGAAATCCCCTCTCTGCTCTGGTTCAGGGCAACCAAAGCTGCAATCCCACAGTCTGAAGGTGGGTGAGGGAAGCTTTAACACAAATGACTCAACACACCTCCAGGAGTTCAGTGCTTTACACACTGTCCCAGCCACCTCGGGCTCGTTGGCTCCATGGGCACCACCAGGTTTAGATTTAAGGGACAGTGGCAGCTGTCAGTGACACTCCCAAGTGGATAATGACCAGGAGTTTAGACCTT